AAGATGGGAAAGGGAAATGTAGGGTGGTAATTTCTTCATACATAGTAGGGAGAGTAAAGAAATACTATCTACAATTGATGGATCAAAAAATAGAGGTTTAAGTATATCGTTTAATTTAATTTTTAATTTTTTAACATTTATTCATTTTTTTGAGAGACAGAGAGAGACAGGGCATGAGTGGGGGAGGGGCAGAGAGAGAGGGAGACACAGGATCTGAAGCAGGGTCCAGGCTCTGAACTGACAGCACAGAGCCCCATGTGGGGCTTGAACTCACAGATCATGAAATCATGACCTGAGCCAAAGTCAGATGCTTAACTGACTGAGCCACTCAGGCGCCCCAGTATATTGTTTAATTTTAAAAGGTAAGTAATAGCAGGACTAAAGAGAAAAATATAACAAAAAATGAGAGGTAGTTAAGTTAATAAAGCTGATAAATTAATAAACAGATATAAAAATATTATTTATAGTTGAGACGTTATGAAAACTAAAAAAAAAAAAGTCAAAAGTACTTCTGAGCACAAGATGGGAAGATAAAATTTTACTTTTCACTTCTATCTTCCTGTATTGTTTAAATTAATCTTCCATGCATGTTTTACATTTATAATAAAAAAACTGATATTAGTGCCTTAGTGTATCAAAACAGATGTAGGGCTCAACAATTTAGAAGACAGTAGAGAAAAGGAATCAAAGACTGAAGGTGACGTCTTTGGAATAAAGCCAAAAGGTACAGAATTATATTATATGAAAAAAGAGGGGTAAAAAGTAATTTCAGAAAATCATTTGCAAAACCATGGATAAACCTTGAGGGTATTATGCTAAATGAAAAAGGTCACACAGAGAAAGACAATATTGTATGATCTTACTTAAACGAGTAATCTTAAAAACAAAAACCGAACTTTTGGAAACAAAGAACAGATTGGTGGTTGCCAGAGGGGCGTGTGTGTGTGTGTGTGTGTGGGGGGGGGGGGGGGGGGGGGGGGGGATGGGTGAAGGGGATCAAAAAGCACAAACTTCCAGTTACAAGACAAGTAAGTTCTGGGGATGTAATGTACAGCATGGTGACTACAGCAAACGAAACTATTGCATATGTGAAAGTTGGTAAGAGATCTTAATAGTTCTCATCACAAGAAAAAAAACCTGTAACTATGTGAGATGGTCGTTGTGTCAAGTAAACTTATTGTGGTGATCACTTTGCTATATATCTCATTGCATTGAATACCATAGACTTACACAATGTTATATATCAATTATTTCCAAAAAAGCTGGAAAACACCCAAAATCCGTCTATTCAAAAACACGGCTACCTGTGATGGTAAATAAGCCTTTATCCTAAAAGTAAAGCAAGCCAAGCTGCAGCTATAGCCGAAAGGACTCTGGGTAGCAATAAAGGAAAACGTCCTGTTCTAGGAGCTTAGGGTCTTAAGGGAAGACATTTGGAGAATCTCATTCTCCAGGTCTGTCCAAAGTCTGTCATTTAATTTCCTGACATGGGTAGAGTGCTATCAAGAGGCAGGGCTGTGATCTCTAAAGGTCCTATAGAATTTCATTCATAACATACTCACATACTTTATTTCAATAAAAAGCAGGCTATAATTTTTGAAGCTAGTAGAATCTTCTCAAGGACTGCTCTAGAGTATATTAGTTAAAAAGGGAAGGCTTTCCTCTTTTATCATCTGCATATCTTCTATTATATTTTTTAATACCTAACTAAAAAATGAAAGGCACAACAGATCTGGGTTATACCTATAAACATAAAATCATAACCTTTGGTTCCACTCATTCTTAGGGGGTTAACAGGCACTTGCCTTCTTACTCTTAAAATACATTATTTATTTATTAATCTCTAAAACACCTATTGCTGTAGCATATATGTGCTAACATGGAAGGTTAAAAACATAAATTATTTAAATCCACCAACTAATGGACATAAAATATAAAAAAAGGGGGGGGGGAAGATGTCAATGACTTAATACAAAGCTAATGGGAAGGACTTAATGAGTGAATGCCTTTTTGAATCAAGCAAAAACCCATTTGAATAAATATAAAACCATTACAATATGTATCTGTGTCAGCAGTTAGTCAACCAGTTCTTGTCAAAAACTCATACTGTATAACACCTTCAGTAGGGGGACATAAAGAGATGAGGAATCTAATTTATAACACATAAAATGACAGACAAGATGGGTGATGGTAACCAGTGAGATGTGTAAAAGATGGGGAAGCAGAGGGTCTGGCCTGTGAGCTGTATACTCAATGAGCAATGGCTCTGAAAAGATAAATGGGCAGTTGTTCATGGGCCTTGAAGGCCTTCCTATTGTATGGAAAGGGTTCTGGGAGCTTGGAAATAAGGTAATCACTTCATTTCCCTGTTTCCATCATCTAGCTTGGTTTAACCCTCTTTAGTAATGCTTTGAGGTACAATGGAAAGAGCCCTTCATTTTCTCTTTTAGATGGAGAGGACAATATCCCACAAGGTGTTTTATATTCAGGAAAAAATGAGACAAAATACAGGAAAGTGATGGAATACTAGTTACTGAATAATTGCTAGTTTTCTCATCCAATCGCAGAGATGGCCACAAGATGTGTGCTCCACTGAGAAGTGGCTGCCCAGCACAGCCATGCTTCCCAGCCCAACCAGCATCCAATGTGGTAACTGACTACTTCTCCCCAGTGGAATATAACTGGAAGGGATGGTCACTACACCTAGGCCAAGGCCGTTCAGAAGAGCCAGGTATACCTTCTTTCTGTTCTTTCCCCATTTGCCAACCAGATGCAGATGCTGCTGCTGAGGCCCTAGGAGAGGGCAGAGCCACAAGAAGGAAGATGCCTGGGTTCTTCAGTCATGTGTGGAGAAGAGCCACCTGACAACCAGAAACACCCCTACTGACTGCTGCATGATTGAGAAATAGCTACTGTGTTAAGGCATTGGAATGTTGAAGCCACTTTTTGTCACAGCAGCAAGTGTTACCTTAACCAATGCAAACATTAAACATGCTCTAAGATAAGTACTATAATAATGACGGTAAGTGTGTCAGACATTGCATCAAACAAGCCATTATTAATGCTATTATGAAATCCTGGCCAAGTAAGTACATGAAAAGACGTTCAACATCATTAGCCATGAGGAAAATGCAAATTGAAACCACCACTTCACTCTCACTAGGATACCATGAACGAGAAGATAGACAGTGACAAGTACTGGCAAGAATGTGAAGAAATTGGAACCTTCCTGTATTGCTGGTGGGAATGCAAAATGGTGCAGCTGTTGTGGAAAAGTCTGGCAGTTCCTCAAAAACTTAAACACAGAGTTAGCATAAAACCCAGCAAGTCTACTGCTAGGAATAGATCCAAAAGGACTGAAAACGTATGTTCACACAAAATCTTGCACAAGAATGTCCCAGCAGAAATACTCATTTTAGCCAAAAAGTGCAAAAAACTCAAATGTTCATCCACTGATGAATGGATAAACAAAATATGACATATATATTTCCATATGATAGAATATTATTCAGTCAGTAAAAAGGAATGGAATGCTGACACATGCTGCAACACAAAAAATAAGTTTGAAAAAAAATATGTACTAAGTGAAAACAGCTAGAGGAGATCACATACTATTTAATTCCACTTGTATGAAATGTTCAGAATGTGCAAATCCATAGAGACAGAGGGGAGCTTAATAGTGGTGAGGGGCTGTGGGAACTGGAAGGAAATGAAAAGATTGCTAATGGGTAGGAGGTGTCCTTTGGGGGGGGGGATGAAAATGTTTGAAACATTAGATAGTGGGGATGACTGTACAACAGTGTGAATACACTAAAAATCACTAAATTGTGCATTTAAAAGGGTGAATTTTATGGTACGTGAATCATATTTCAATAATAAAAAAAAGAAATCTCAGCTATTTGCTTTACCTTGCCTCCCAGTGAATCTGGCTCTCCACAAAAAGGCACTGAACTCTTTTTAGGTAATGTTTGGGAAAAGGTATGATTCTAAGATGCTGGAAACATGCTAATTTTGATCTGAGTGAGTTATATGGGTATATACACATGTAAATAATCATTCTAGTCATGATCTCAGGCCAGTCAGAACCCACATAATCCTTCCTCCTAGCTTCCCCTACAACAACGTAAATGCAAACAGAGGCTCAATGCCATATACATTAAATGACTAGAGACCTACATATCAAGCTTTCTTTGGTTTAGGTAACAGTGTAGCTAACACTGAGATGAGATAAATATTTAAAGCTAACCTTGAGAATCATATGTGGCTGGAAAATGGAGTCCCAGAATAACTACTAAAGTGTGTATCACATCAGCAAAATTCTCGAAGGAAGAAACAAGTTCTAAAGAGGTAGTGTGCAGTGATGGGGGCAGGGACACAAGAGAGGATTGCATATGGAAATCCTTCTTTTCCCTGCTCAGGTACATGCCATTTTCTTTTTTTAATTTTTATTTATTTTATTTATTTTTAAATTATTATTATTATTATTATTATTATTATTATTATTATTATTTTTAGAGGGAGAGCAAGAGAGTGTGAGATGGGGAGAGGGGGAAAGGAGGAGGGAGGAAGGGAGGGAGAGAGAGAGAGAGAGAGGGAGGGAGGGAGGGAGAGAGGAGAGAGAGGGAGGGAGAGGGAGAGAGAGAGAGAGAGAGAGAGAGAGAATACGAAGCAGGCTCCACAGGGCTTGACCCCACGACTGACCCTGGGATCGTGACCCAAGCCGAAATCAAGAGTTGGACGCTCAACCAACTGAGCCACCCTAGCACCCCTACATGTCACTTTCAAGAGTCAAGTTCAAACCACAAAATAAGGAAAGTTTGTTTGAGCATATAAATTCTCACTGAAGTACTTAATAGTCAAAATTGAAATGAAGGATCATTAGGATGTTTTCAACCTCCAAATAAGAACGTAACTTCCACAAATCCTCATTAGAAACTTCTGAATCCATCAGATAAGACTCTTTTAACTTGTAATAAATTCTGGGAAATGATGTAACTTACTTGCAAGAGACTTTAGTTCTGTCGGCCACCATGGTCCATTGTTGCTGGTTGGTGGAAACCTCAACGTAGTAGCTATAGCTTCGATCATCACAGTCCCAAAGTAATAACCTGAACAAAGAAAAATACGTTAAGAATGCTGTGAATGTTCTAACTGGCTGTTTCCTGAGGCTGTGGGCATGAGTGAATCCATGTCTGCCGTACCCCTCCTCCCTGCCTCCTTTGCCCCACCACGCTTCCAGGACTGGAAAAAGGAAGAGAATCCCAGCAAAAGTATGGTAGGAGGAGGTGGAGTCAGTCTGAAGAAGAAGCAGTGTCTCTTTAGGAATTTATTTCACAAGTCACCCAATCTCAGGCAGCCTCTGTCAAAGCTCTTTGGTTGGCTTATGGGTGAGAAGATGGCCCCAAATCCTCCTTCCTGATTCATCTCCAGTTGACTGGGCTGACCAAAAGTGATATCCTTGAGACTCCTGTTCATGGGGAAATCCATGCTTTCTAATTGGTAGTAACTAGTAAGTCCCAATGACCTTAACTATCATGTTTCAAATTCCTTCTCATTCTTAGCAGACTTTTTGCATAGCTGTAGTATAATGATCTGATTTGGAGATACAAGCAAACATATTCATTAGTAAAACTTTTTTATTATTTAGAGATTGATTATTTTGGCTCTGTTCTTCTTATCTCCTTTTGAGCCCAGATAAGAACCAAAGCATAGACTATGTAATTTAATTTACATGAAGCTCAAAAGAGACAAAATTCATCCATGGTGACAGGAATCAGAACAGTGATTACCTCTGGGAGAGGTAATGATTGGAAAGGGTATGAAGGAACCTTCCAGGATGCTGGAAATGTGAGGACTCTGACTGAGTGGTAGTTCATGGGTATACACACAGTAAATACTCATTCGCACTATATATAAAAGATTTGTGCACTGTATGTGTGTTATTCCTCAATTTAAAACCCACAATAAGAAAAAAGGATCTAAGAATTGCAACACAGGATTAGACTTCGGTCCAGCATTTTGCTTCTGACAGTGCCACCGTGGTGAGGGACGCGAGACCACTGTCTTCTATGATTTCAGCTTCCAAAGTCCTTCCCATACAGGATATCTTACCGTTTTATATTTGGTCATGCATATTTGCTTCCTCCACCAGCTAGAACAGAAAGTGAGCTCCCTAAAGGCAGAGCCTATGTCTTCTTGATCTTTTTATACCCAATACTTGGCACAGTGTCTCAAAGAGCCTATACTCAATGAATGTTTATTTGTTATGACGATTATTATTATCATAATAGTCAACATACCTTTAATGTTCATACTGTGTACCAGGCCCTGTGTTAAGTGCTCTATATAATTTATCTTATTAAATCCTTCCAAAAATCCCCTTAGCAAGCATTATTCTTCTCATCAAATTATATATATTTAATTATATATATATATCATATATATTTAATTTATATACTCCATCTAAATACAAAATATTGAATTTGAGAGAGAAAGAGAGAGTGAGCGCAAGTGAGCCTGACATGGGGCTCAATCCATGACCTTGGGATCATGACCTGAGCTGAAATCAAGAATTGGATGCTCAACCAACTGAGCCACCCAGGCACCCCTCTCATCAAATTATAGACGGTGAAAGTAAGGCTTAACACTGTTGGGTAACGTGTCTATACTCAGTTAGTGTTGGCAGATACAGGGGGTTCATCAAACCTGGTATCCTGGCCAAAGCCCATTTCTGTCATCCTTCTGCCAAGTGCTTCTTTACTCCCAGTTTATGGACCTGGGTCCCAATTTACAACCTGCCACCTATGACTCTACAAAAGTAGTTCATATTATTTCTCCTTAATCTTGTGATTATAATCAATAAAAACCCTTGAAAAGCTCAGTTTAGTGTCACCTACAATGCTATTATTGGGGATCAGAAATGCCACTGTGTTCCCCTTTCCCCTCACCCTTTGTTCCCTATTTTCAAGTGTAATTTTGTTTGCTATCAATGACTAAACCCACACTACCTAATATTTTGGAATTCATCTTTTAAGCAAAGCAGAAACAGAGTTTGCCTTAATCTACCTGAATATTCCCCTTAATTCACCTGAGTATTTAATCTCTCAAAGTACTCTGAATGAATCAGACAGGATTCTACCCTATTGTTTTTAAGTGTCTAATAATTCTGCTCTTTACCAGTTTGCCTGGTAAGAAAGTGAATCATTTCCCTCATTAGTCATTTCCTTGTATATTATTCTAGTTTCTTAGCACTTTTATGCAGTTAGCTTGTTAATTTACATTTATGTTGAGTAACTTGTAAAAGTGTAATTTTTGTTTCTATGTTTGTCTAGCTCTTGTAAAGATTATAGAAAGACTGTTGATCTTTCTCTTTTTAAAAAATTCTACTCTGAACATATGGGTTCTGTTCATAGTGTATGTTTCATACATGTTCCGGGCTGAAATAACTTATAACTTTGCCAGAGTGGATTAAAAACAAGAAAAAAAAACCCTTCAAATTAATTAATCATTCTCTTCACTTAACAGCCTTGGTAACAGGCTTTTTGGGAGACAATGTTGAGGTTATTTTCTCAAGGGGATTTTGGATCATTGATGCAGAGCCAGTTTTATGATAATCCCTATCCTTCTGGATAATCATGAGTTAGGGTTTCTACCAGTGTATCCAAATGAAAATAATCAAGCCTTTTGGGATAGAATGTAACTAGATTCCAAAATATTTCATGGAAAAATACTGGGATGTGGGAGATAGGATATGAAGAAGATAAAAAGGAAGACCAGTTATAAGTAAGCATCATAAATGCTCTGGTAGAAATTCTTGGGAGTAATAGGATATTAAAAGAATTTTTAAGGTTGCACATATTTTGTCCCATAGTAGCTTTTCCTATAAGCCCTCTGACTTGTTTTGAGACAAATGTTTGTTTTAAAAGGAACATCACCTGTGATTCCAGGTATAAACTCATAGACATGATGCAATTTTTCTTGTAACTTGTTTCTTTCGCTTAACGACGTATTATGAATTCCTTTCTTTTGTATCTATCAAATACTCTTCCTCATCACACGTCCTGGCTTCGTGGAATTTCACTGTATGGATGCCCCATAAATTATTTAATCGGTTTCTTATTAGTGGTCATTTAGGTAGGTGACAGTATTACACTGCTAGTAAAACTCTGTGATGAACGTCCTTACACTAAATCTATGACTGTTGCCTGTGAAAGCTTCTGTGGGTGAAGCTGGAGCAGAGCACGTGAGGCCTTGACGCGCATTACCAAACAGCTGCACGCTTCTCCCTTTCCCCTAAACAAAAGTCTGAACCAATTTATACTCACACTACCAGCAGTTCATAAGAGACGCCTGTTTCTGTGTGTCACTGCTGATAATCATGTATTATCTTTAAAAACACTGCCGATTCGATAGACAAAATCTTTGTCATTAATTTGCAGCCTTTCACTTATCATTGAACTTGAACATTTTACCCATTTTCTACTTACATTTATCCTTTTGTTAATGACTTACACGATGCCCTCTATATTTGACGGATATTAATCTGCTGCCTATCATAGTTGGCATGCTGAAGATATTAATTTTTATTAGCTCACTCTATCGATCTTTACTTCAATAATTTCTCCTGGCCTAAATTCTTTTTTCTGAACAGCAGCCAAATGCACACACTGGTTGAGACATCTCCTTTCTATTCCTCTATTAAGAGTCCCTGAGGGCTGGAAATGGGGGGTCATGGTGACTCATGAGTAGAGAAGGGACGATCTCAGGTTATCAAGCCACTTACACTTTGGAATTTTTAAGACAGATTCTAATTCATGTGCCAGGATGCATATTTGCTTGGAATTTCGGCTTAGCCAGGCATGAAAATACCTTTGTTGATTCAACTGAAAAAAGCAAGCACAGTCTAAGGACACTACAGGAAAAATTGGCTCAATCTCTCTTTTTCCACAGAGAGGAATTTTGTTCTAATAAGGCACAATTGAAAAACCCACCAACTCCCTCACTTCTTTCCTTGCCAGCAAAGTCTGTTCCCACATCTGTGCACCTGCAACAACACAGAGATACTTCTGATTTGTAATCTGCCAAGGAATGTTTGCCCGATGAGCTTGCCCAGGACAGACACACCCCCTCTGACCTTAACTGAGAAGAGTTTCTTAAACATATCCCCCTACATCTACACACCTCCACCCAGACATCAGAAGCTATTTTCAAAAGGGGCTGAATAAAGGAAGCTGCTGGCCAAGATCTATTGATGCAGATCAGGTCTGTACTCAGCTGTTGCCATGAACCCCTCTACCTAATGAGCACTGCATGAGATGCCTGGTGATATTAAACACTGTCTCCTCCATCTTCCCTCAGACTCATTGTGGAGTTTCCCTTAAAAGCAGTGAAGTGCTGGGCTTTTTGTAATTGATTAGCAGATGTGATTTTGCTTACATCTTCCATAAATGCCCTGGCTGGCTGCATACCATTGATTACCGGGGTTCGGTTTACAGCAACTAATTGCTCTCCTTGCTGGTGTTTTGATACAAAATTCAATAGTGAATATGTTTTCAAAACTCCTGTCTTTGCGGCTTGAGTCAGAAGTGACTTGAGGCAAACCCAGTGGACTGAGTTTTCCCTTCTTTAAAATAATTGCTCTCTCATCAGTCTGTGAAGAAAGTTTTCAAATTGTAGCATTCTAATTGGAGAGTCTGCATTATGCATGTGATGACAAACTATGTTGTGCTGAATGGCATTTTTTTCATCCCTTTCTTAAGGGATTAATTCTGTGCCAGATTGTGAACAGTGCTGAGGTTTAAACAGTGGAGATCAACAGCCTCTCCGCTGAACTGGTATCTTTTAGGTCAGAAGCAAGTGTCTGTTTTGCCTGTTTCTAACTGTCCACTGTTCGTGGGAGACTCCACTGGAAGGCCTGGGGTCACCTCTCCTGCTGCTGCCATGTTTCCTTGCTTGGACAAAAGCAGGCAACTTGAGAGAAGAGAACTGCCAAGATATTAGTAACATAATTTATTATCAAACCCATTTCTAATCTCTTGGTCAAAATCAAAGAGAGTCTGACCTCACAGGTTTGGAGACCATTCTTTGTTAAAGATCTTGAGAAATTAAG